AAGGGCATTATGCTGGGTGAAAAAAAAGGCCCATCTCAAAAGGTTACAAACTATATGATTTCATTTAAATAACATTTTCGAAATAAGAACATTATAGAATATGGAGATTAGTGAATGCCAAGTGTTGGGGATTGGAAAGGACGAGCAGGGAGGAGGTGGGTGTGTCTATGAAGGGACAGCAGGAGGGAGTCTTGTGATCCATGAATTGATGATGGTTACCTGAAACTACACAGATGATACAATTGCATAGAAACACACACACACACACGCGCGCGCGCGCGCGCGCGCGCGCACAAGTTCATGCACTGAATTATGAATAACCTGTGGATTGTACCGATGTCAATTTCCTACTCTTACACACACACGCGCGCGCGCGCGCGCGCAAGTTCATGCACTGAATTATGAATAACCTGTGGATTGTACCGATGTCAATTTCCTACTCTTGGTTGTGTACTATATTTCGGCAAAATGTTACCATTGGAGAAGGGTGGGGTGAAAGGGGCCCTCAATCTCCTTGTAGCATTTTTTTTGCAAATTCCTGTGAAACTATAATTATTTCAAATAATAAGTTTTAGAGAATCAGACATTTCTTTGTCTCATTAGAGAAGGGGTTGCTAATGAAGTTAGGGGGTAACAGGTAAGTGACTGGTAACATGGCTGGCAAAAGGGAGGGTGAGGTTGTGGCCCATGTTAAGGAGGCAGCTGCTCCTTAGCTCCCACCATGGTGGGACCTGTGAGCCTGGAGTTGCTGAGTTTTCTGAGTGCTGCTGTTTTCGTAAAATGCCAGAAATCTAGATTTCTAATAAAAGTCTGACTTTTCAATACTGACAACTAATTTGAACGTTTTTGAGCACTGTGTAAGCCAAGCTAAAGATACTAGAAAGCTAGATTCAGTGTAATGGTCATTCATGCGCGAACTCAGCTTCCAGACAGAGGTTCAGTTTGGCCCCAAGATGAATTAATTCCCCACTCAACAAACCGGTAACCTTAGTACACAGTTCACACTAGTCTGTGATTCCTTATGAAAGAGAGAAAATTGGTTACTCTTAAGAAAGTAAGTGTTCTGATCAGGCTGCTAATGAAAATGTCATAAGCCACTAGTCATTGACACCCAGGAATTCTGAGTAATGATGACATTTGTTTGATAAAGGCTCAGTCTGAGGCCACTGCTGCTGGAATCCCAGCAAGCTCTGACCGAGACTTTCACAGCCACTTCTTCAGCATGGTGCCAGGGCCACAGTAGGTGCCAGTTTGTGTTTTTAGAAGTGTTTATTTGTTCTTTCCCAGCTATCTTAGTTCTTTTATTTTTTTTAAAGCTAAATGAGATCTTCTACAAAAACTGAGCAGATGAATCAGAATTTGGTGTCTTATGCTAGAGTTTTCCTGAGACTGATATTATGGCCTGGTAAATGCACTTCATAAATAGGCATCAGAAGTACCCATAAACTCTCTCTCTATTTGAAACTCTGAACAAAAGCTTTTTACTCATTATCACAAATGAGCAGATCAAGGTGCTGATAAGGTCCTCATTCTAGTTTGGTCTTTATCATCTCTGTCCTTCTAGATGCCCAAGATCAAGACATTCCTTTCTCTCCACCAACTCCCAACCTGGCCATCTGACTTAAGTGAAAGGAAGACATAGCTAACTGCATATTCTTCACACAACCTGCAAAACAACTCCAAGTGCCCCATGCCTGTGCGTCAGTAACACCCCACCCCATCCCTGCACTGTGTGAAACAACATCCTGTGCACTAATCAGTCTTCTGTGTTCAAACTTTAACAGCCTCAGCACACCCAATTCCTTTGTGGTTGTGTACTATATTTCGGCAAAATGTTACCATTGGAGAAGGGTGGGGTGAAAGGGGCCCTCAATCTCCTTGTAGCATTTTTTTTGCAAATTCCTGTGAAACTATAATTATTTCAAATAATAAGTTTTAGAGAATCAGACATTTCTTTGTCTCATTAGAGAAGGGGTTGCTAATGAAGTTAGGGGGTAACAGGTAAGTGACTGGTAACATGGCTGGCAAAAGGGAGGGTGAGGTTGTGGCCCATGTTAAGGAGGCAGCTGCTCCTTAGCTCCCACCATGGTGGGACCTGTGAGCCTGGAGTTGCTGAGTTTTCTGAGTGCTGCTGTTTTCGTAAAATGCCAGAAATCTAGATTTCTAATAAAAGTCTGACTTTTCAATACTGACAACTAATTTGAACGTTTTTGAGCACTGTGTAAGCCAAGCTAAAGATACTAGAAAGCTAGATTCAGTGTAATGGTCATTCATGCGCGAACTCAGCTTCCAGACAGAGGTTCAGTTTGGCCCCAAGATGAATTAATTCCCCACTCAACAAACCGGTAACCTTAGTACACAGTTCACACTAGTCTGTGATTCCTTATGAAAGAGAGAAAATTGGTTACTCTTAAGAAAGTAAGTGTTCTGATCAGGCTGCTAATGAAAATGTCATAAGCCACTAGTCATTGACACCCAGGAATTCTGAGTAATGTTGACATTTGTTTGATAAAGGCTCAGTCTGAGGCCACTGCTGCTGGAATCCCAGCAAGCTCTGACCGAGACTTTCACAGCCACTTCTTCAGCATGGTGCCAGGGCCACAGTAGGTGCCAGTTTGTGTTTTTAGAAGTGTTTATTTGTTCTTTCCCAGCTATCTTAGTTCTTTTATTTTTTTTAAAGCTAAATGAGATCTTCTACAAAAACTGAGCAGATGAATCAGAATTTGGTGTCTTATGCTAGAGTTTTCCTGAGACTGATATTATGGCCTGGTAAATGCACTTCATAAATAGGCATCAGAAGTACCCATAAACTCTCTCTCTATTTGAAACTCTGAACAAAAGCTTTTTACTCATTATCACAAATGAGCAGATCAAGGTGCTGATAAGGTCCTCATTCTAGTTTGGTCTTTATCATCTCTGTCCTTCTAGATGCCCAAGATCAAGACATTCCTTTCTCTCCACCAACTCCCAACCTGGCCATCTGACTTAAGTGAAAGGAAGACATAGCTAACTGCATATTCTTCACACAACCTGCAAAACAACTCCAAGTGCCCCATGCCTGTGCGTCAGTAACACCCCACCCCATCCCTGCACTGTGTGAAACAACATCCTGTGCACTAATCAGTCTTCTGTGTTCAAACTTTAACAGCCTCAGCACACCCAATTCCTTTGTGAAGGGAATGAGTGGAGAAATTCTAATCTTTCAGCTTTTAAAATTTCATCTATGGTCTAATTACACATTCTCAGAATCATTTAATCACAAATGATTAAATGATTCATTTGCATTAACTCTGTCCTCTTTTCCCCAAAAGCCTGCTAATAAGAGTCCAGAGAACGTTTTCTAAAAAAAAACATTAAAAAGAGTATTTGTAGGTATTTCATAATTATATATCAATAAAAGTCTTTTCTTGTTTGCCATTTTTCACAAAGCTCTGTAATATGCAGACTTGAAAGGGTTGGTTCTCAGCCTCGAAAATTATGCTAATGAGGTAAGAGCAATAATTCAAAGTGTAGCCACTAATTTCTCTAAGGGGAAATATGTAGGGACCCCGGGCTCTACGTTTGTTTTCAACTAATTATCACATATTTACTTTTCCATTAGTCTGATAATTTTTCTTTCAATTCAGAATTAAGCAATAAGACTCCGAATTATATAAAGGCCTGTTTAGCATAGCAGACACACCCCATCATCCCCTAGTCCTCTGATTTACAGCTCTTAAAATGCACAGCCAAGAGGCTGTCTATATGCCCTTTTGTATTTATATTCCATCACGTAGTCACCTCAATAACTTATGCATTCTCAAAAGGTCTACCTAGCAATTAACTCCAGTCTTTTCTAACTCACCATCTCATTATGTAAAGCGGATTTAAACACAAACTTTATTAGCAACTTTCAATTCTGATTCCTTCTTATCTCCCCCACCCCCACTCTGCCTTGTCATGTCGGTCTAGCAATTAACTCCAGTCTTTTCTAACTCACCATCTCATTATGTAAAGTGGATTTAAACACAAACTTTATCAGCAACTTTCAATTCTGATTCCTTCTTATCTCCCCCACCCCCACTCTGCCTTGTCATGTCGGTTTACATGAGACCAAAATACTCTCGAAAATGGCAGTTTAAAAAATCCACAGTGGACTGGCAGCACGTTTAGTAATTGTTCTTTACACTATGAAGCACTACAATAAATCGAGTCTGTCATATTTCAGCTGAAGCATGTGATGTAATTCTTCATAGAAATGGAAATGAATTCCCCCTGCCAAACAACATGGGATGTTAACTATGTTTGGGAGGAATAGGCAAGTAAGGAAGCTATTATTTTTACTCAAAAGGTAAACTCAAAAAAAATAAAAAATAAAAAACACACCCAAACAAACCAGCCCAAACCTCCTTGTTAAAAGGTAAAGAATTCATAGTACACTAGTTCCCCCTTGCCCGTAGTTTTGCTTTCTGCGGTTTTAACTAACCACAGTTAACCATGGTCCAAAAATATTGAGATATTTTGAGAGACAGAGAAGGAAAGAAGGAGAGCAAAAGAGAGAGAGACCACATTCACATAACTTTTGTTAACTATATTGTTATAACTGCTGTATTTTTATTATTAGTTATTGTTGTTAATCTCCTACTGTGCCTCATTAATAAATTAAACTTTATCAGAGGTATGTATGTAGTACGTAGTATATACATAGGGTTTGGTACTGCAGTTTCAGGCATCCATTGGGGATCTTATCCCCACCCCCACCTCCACCCCTTTATCCTCAGGGACTACTGTATCTCTTCTTTGAACCCTAGAAAGAAGAGAGAGCACGATTTGCAGAGTTCTCTCATGCATGTGAAGTGCGTCAGGTGAAGAGCTGAAACATGATGCAATGCACATGTTCTTGTGATAAGGAACCAAGGGGGCTGATGAAGGTTCTCACAAAACTAAAGGAAAGGCAGCACCTGAAGACGATGTGTCTAATGCAGGAACAGGGAGGTGCCTGGTCAGCGTGACTGACTTACCAATGTCAGGGTCCACAGCTTGAACTCTGGTCAACAGAGCCTTGGTGGCTGTGTTCTCATAGACACAGGCGTTGTAGTTGTCAGAAGAAAACACAGGGGGGTTATCATTCACGTCCTGCAGAATCAGGCGGATGTCAGACTGGCAGAACCTGCCACCTCCATCTGTGGCTCTGGCGATCAGGCTGTACACAGGGACCCTCTCTCGGTCCAGCAGAGCCAAGGTTTTTAACTCACCTGTGAAAATAAATGGCAGCATGGTTGGTCTGACTTCTCAAAAACTGTTTTTCTTTGAAAAGCAAAGAATCAATTATATAAAGAATTTCCAGTACAGGAAGGACCAATGACATTTGGCTCGAGGACTCCCTATTTTGAAAAATAGAGCAAATTCAATTTTTTTTAGGCCATCAGGGAAAAATTTATGAGATTCTGGATACAATGACAGTTACCCAAAGAATAAATTTCACCTTACCACTTTCTGGATCTAGAAAAAATTCATTGTTTCCAGATCCATAGAGTGAGTATCGTATATCTCCATTGGATCCAATATCGGCATCCCTGGCACTGACCTTCAAGATGAATTTATTTGATGGAATGTCTTCGGGAAATAATGCTGTATATGCAACCTAGGTAAAGGTGAAGAAAGGTAATTAGATCATTAGTATTTCCGGAACAATTACCATATTTAGCATCATATGTAATTTCTTTAAAAATTCATTTATGCAATTTAGCTTTTGCTATTTTTTTCTTCACCACAAAACCATATTACAATATACAACGAAATGTGGTATATCTGCTGCCCTATCCCTCCAATGCCTATTCATTCAACAAATACTTATTGAGAATCTACTATGTATTAGGTTTCATTCCAGATACTACGAGTACAGTGATGAAGAAAACAAAAATAAATCCCTGCCTCTGTGGA